AAATTTTGATATGTATTTAAAACAATAAAAAAAATTTAGACATATATGATATAAATTAATAAATATCTTGTGCCTGATCTTTTTATGATTAGCGTATGTGGATCAATTATGATTGGGTCTGATATCTGTGATGATGGTGTTGGTTGAGGACTGAAATGAAAACAAATTTTGATATGTATTTAAAACAATAAAAAAAATTTAGACATATATAATATAAATTAATAAATCTGTCTTGCCTTTGTGGATCCATTGATGCATAATCACTGTTCTGTTCTCTCTCTACTTTGTATTGTGTAAAATATAAAATCAGATAAATTAAAATTTGCAAATATTTTCAATCCTTCCATTTACAGCAGGATCCAAGTAGCTATACGCAACCAAAAGAAACAAAGGGACCCACATAAGAAGATGGCACTCAGAGCTTAGGAAAAATACTGGACCCATGTCAGCAGCTAGGAAGGTGAGCAAGAGAAAGAATGGCAATTAACAGACACACGTGTTGGACCATCTTCAAAACAAATGAAATTAAAACAAAAGGCAATATAGTAATTTTACGTTAAAAAGGACATAACGGGAATATAAAAATCATCTGAAAAAATTTGTAGGGGTAAAAGAGGAAGGACACTGTTCATTGCACTGTAGCATGAACAGTAAATCATGTCCTCTCTTTTAGTATATGTATAATATAATGAACACCTCTGATCGATTTAAATTAGTATAATAAATATATAATCAACCTAAGTATTATTCATGTGACACAATTATAGCATAAGACATTTATCGATATCTCTTATTAAGGAAAAAAAAAAGACACATTTATCGATCGATTAATCTTTCCTTAACAAAATGCAGTGTTTAATGCACAATTGAATTCTGAGATTTATGAATGTAAAAAAATAATAATAAATGAACATTTTATTTTTTATTTTTAAAAAAAATATTAGACTTATTCCTAAAGTGTATGAATCTAGATTCTTATTCTTTATTCTTGATTAATGTCATTTTAATTAATATAGTTATTTAACTAAAAAGAATGTTAATAAAATAGAGAATATAAAAATCTAAATTCATACACTCTATGAGGGTATTTTTCTCTTTTCACTTTTATTTTATCACATATATAATTAGATTGTCAATAATATATATAGTTTTTTGCCAATTAATGTCAATATGAATAAGATACAATATTTATTAATCCTGTCAATCTGATAATGACCTATCTGCATTTATAATAAATTCAAATTTACTAACTTTATGCCTGTTTTAAATTATTATTTTTCCTTATGACTCAAGTTGCCACCCCAAACAAATGAGACAATAACATGATTACAATAAATAATTTTATCTCTTATGGTAGGACATGAGAAAATATCTTAACAATAGAATATAGTCTTAAATTAGTACAATTGATGGTGGCTTAGTTGCTAAGAAAAGCTAAGTGGAAGAAAAAAAAAGAAATTTTTTTTTTTCTTTTAAAAAGGATAATAATTTTTTTTCTTTGAAAAAATAAGGATGATAAGTTTCAACGTTACACAAATATCGCTTCTTTTTTTTAAAGGTACACGTGTCACTATTTGAGGCTTCGTACATTTCACCGATTCGAGTTTTCAATTTCAATTTTACTACAGTTAAAAACTCTCAAAAAAGTCACATCTAACTTTTTCTGCTACAATAAAAAGTTCTCATATAAAATCACATCTCAACTCAAATTGAAAACTTGAATCAACGAACTGAACTGAGTCTTTGTATGTGTCTTTTTTTTTTCAATTTTAACGTTTAATAAAATATACATTATTATTGTTGTTGTTATTATTATTATGTATAGTTTCTCTTAGATAATAAGCACGTGCAACATCCTCAATTAGTTCCATGAGAAATTTAATGAGCATCATCAATTTAACTATATTTATTATTAAATTAAGAGTTTTTTTAAAACCTCTTAGTTTTCTTTTATCTAATGGTAATTGACTAAGGAAAGGAGAGTTATGATTATTGATTTAATTATTGGACAATGATTTGTTAGTAATTTTTTTGAAAGTTAAAATAGTCTTATTAAGTTGTTATGTAATGGATTTTTAATCATTTCATGAGATTCAATTTAGTAGACGCAGAAGAAAACTCTCTTTGTTCTCTTGGGACCGCTTCTTCTCCCTCTCACAAAACACACTTAGACATAGGGTTAGTTTGGTAGTGCTGTAGATTTTAAAAAAATTACTTTTAACTGTGTTGAATGAAGAAGCAGTTGTTACAAAAAGCAACTGAATGTTTGGTAAACTATAATTATAGTAGATGTGCTGGTTCTAAAATCAGTGTAATAGTGTTTGATAAATTATGAAGTTGAATTGCTATGGATAGTTAAAAATTACAACTATATTATATTATATTATACTATAATATAATATAATATAAATAATTACAATATAATATATATTTATTTTTATATTTAATATAATACGAATAAATTATTATTATATAATATATTATATAATTATGATATAGAATATAATAATATTATTAAAATAATAACTGAAATAATTAAAATAACGATTATATTGTATTATACTATAAATTTAATATAATACAATAAAACTATTATTAAATAACATATTATATAACTATGATATAGAATATAATAATATTATTAAAATGGTTAAAATAATTACAATATAATAAAACATATTATAATATTACATAAGAAATATTAATATTTCAGTTATAATTTAATTAAAAATTACAACTATATTATAATATAATATAATATATTATATTATATTATATAATCACTATTATATTATATTAAACAAATATATTATAATTAATATTTTGTATAACCATAACGTGTGTAATATACTATAATATATAATAATATTAGAATTATAAGATTATATTAATATTTAATTATATTAATTACTATATTATTATTAATATAATAAATCTAATTATATCAATACAATATAATATATAATATATTACAAAATAATAATTACAATATCATATTATAATTACAATATCATATTATTAAAATAATTATAAATATAATTATGATATTATTTATTATAATATTATATTATATTATATTACGAGTATGAATTTTAGATTGAGAGTATTGTAAATTTTAAATTTTATTATGGGTATTATAAAAGTTTCATTAATTATACTATGTTGATTTCCGCACAATCTAAAAGCTAAAGTTGTCTTTCGACTGCTTCTGATTTTGGCTGTAGATTCTTAAAAAATTTTTCAACAAGTACTTTTAAGGAGATTTACCAAACACTAAAATCAACTTTTATTGTAAACAGAAACTGATTTTGGAAAGGAAAAGCAATACTAAACTAAGCCATAGTTGATTTATTGTGTGATCATGTTCACCAAAATTAGTTGAAAACAAAAAGGCCCAGTGGTTTTGTATTTAATATTATTTTCACGTTTCTCTATGAAGTTACTCTGAAAATGGGTCTGCACATGCGTTTTGTATTCGGTCTCATTTCAAAAAAAAAAAAAAAAAAAAAAAAAAATAAAAAATTCTTCAACAAGTACTTTTAAGGAGATTTACCAAACACTAAAATCAACTTTTATTGTAAACAGAAACTGATTTTGGAAAGGAAAAAGCAATACTAAACTAAGCCATAGTTGATTTATTGTGTGATCATGTTCACCAAAATTAGTTGAAAACAAAAAGGCCCAGTGGTTTTGTATTTAATATTATTTTCACGTTTCTCTATGAAGTTACTCTGAAAATGGGTCTGCACATGCGTTTTGTATTCGGTCTCATTTCAAAAAAAAAAAAAAAAAAAAAAGAAGATAAATAATTTCCAAGTTATTCCTAATCATGCACCGAAAGCAAATTTCTACGGAGGATAATAGGTGATACAATATCAGCGTTGATGAAGGGATCAACACAAACTTGCGGATTTGTTTACTGTTCAGACATAAATCTTCCCAATACATGTTTGACCATGGTACGTACAATAAACTTCTGTAAAAGGGTGGGAAAAAAGGACGACAACATATATATTCAGCGTTTGGACCAAATTTTTTAGCCGAAAAGACATCATGATCTTCAATATTCTTCTTGCCATACATATTAACATACAAGATGCAACCAAATGATAAGTAACATTTAACAAAAACCCGTTAGAACATTTTGTTACCACAAAAATCTATCTTGCAAAATTCTCCTTGACATATTCTAAAGCATCTTTGTAATTGTTGAACATATCAGTTGCAATAGTAGAGATCATCTCATAAAATCCTTGGAACGATTCAGGCAAATCCTTCAACAACCCTTCCAAGGAATCTCGTGTTTGCACCACAAGGCCCATGATCGCCGACCCCACGACTGAAGCCGACCCCACGGCGCCCTCCTTAAGGAGATCAAACGACGTCGAAAATATCGTCGTGATTACTTCCACCATAAGCTCCAAGACATACTGAAGAACCCCTTTAAGGACCTCTGCTAGCTGTTCTAATAACCCTTTGGCGTTTTCGCCTGGAACTTTTAATGCTTGTATCAAGAACACTATAAGATAGGCTGTAGTAGAGAAGATTAAACGTGAAACAAAATAGGATAAAGTGCTTAAAGTTACAAAGATGATTTTGATCAGAAGAAAAACTGGCATTTTGTTTTTCCTTTTTTATGGCTATTTGGTGTTTATGAAGATGAAAACTAAGAAGAAGACTTTACGAGGAAGTTAAGGAAGAGAAGCTGTGTATATATTTTGCTATGTGGTAGAAGTAGTTTCAAAGGTCATCGAGAAGTTTAGTCTTTTTTTACATAATATTAAGTAATGAAACCGTTGAAATTGTGTAATTTTAATATGATTTACGTGGAGTTTTATAATGATTAGTTGTCGTGCCATCACCTTCGTAGAACCTTAATTGAACTGTAATGAAGCTTTTTTAAATAGGTGATTGGAACTATAATTTATATTATGCAAGTAGTTTGTAATTAAATCACCGGTCTATATTCTAACTTCCGACCGACTAGGTCTAATATAAATATTAAAAGGAGGATAACAACTTGCATAATATTATAAATTTTTTTTCGTTTGATAAATATTTTCAGTGAAGTAATATAACATTGAAAATAACGAATCATTGTGTTGAGAGTTTCTATCTCGAATTTCCCACGAAAATGCCAATCTAACAAGATATGAAGTAAGATTGGCAGTGTTTGAGAGTTGACTCCAAAAGTTTGTATGTACCGTGTATTGGATCAGACTAAACCGTGTATTCCAGTTTCCAAATAAACGTATATTTACCATTTAGAAGTTAAATGACCAGAACCTAATAATAATCTTTCAGAAAAAGAGACAAATACTCTTTAAAAATAAACTAGTTAAGATTTCTACCAATTACTTTTAATTGATAACATTTTTAATCAAATAATTATATTAACAAAATGGTATTAATCAAGAACTAGAGATAAAAATACAAATTCATGCGCTCTTAAAATTAAATTCATAAAATTTCTTTAATATGATCTCATCTCTAATCCCCTCCCCTCTCTCTTTTTTATCCTCTCTTTTGACTATGAATTTTTAAAACGCTTGTCGTTGTCAATTTACAAGTATTACGAAGCTCAATTTCGCAAGGGAAACCAACAATAACCATGCACGTCAAAGTAACGTTAACGACAAGCGGCGTTCGATTTGTAAAGTAAAAGCTTTATAGATTTAGCTGCAAGATGCTTAGAGACGAAGCAATTGTCAAGTATTACGAAGCTCAATTTTGCAAGGGAAACCAACAATAACCATGCACGTCAAAGTAACGTTAACGACAAGCAGCGTTCGATTTGTAAAGTAATAGCTTTATAGATTTAGCTGCAAGATGCTTAGAGAGGAAGCAATTGTCAATGATACTAAAACGACATCAATACATCGTACTTGCAAAATGAAATTAGCAAATGTATAGAAAAAATAATGAATAAATAAAACCAACGGGTCAACATCCAAATAATATTGATGTAGATGAGAAATAAGGCAGCAGATATATATGAGTAATCAAAAGTAGTTATTCATTAAGCAGCCAGCGTAACCACAGGAGTGGTTGAAAAAGAGAGTAATAGAATTCACAGTATACTGTTCTCTATAAATATATACATATATATATATATATAAACTGTACAAAGGAAAAATCTCAGAGTGCTCGCAAAGCAGAGTCAGAACGGAAAAAGGGCAATCCTTCTATTTACAAAGGGAGTTGCTCAAATAACCACCTCGTCTTTTGTACATGAAAAACAAAGTCCGTTTCACCAATCAGTTCTCCTTGAGCTTATACACGGTGTTGACGCATTCTTCTGTCTCCCAAAGGAATGACCCGAAAGCAACAGCTTCCAAAACCAGCCTCTTCAGGCTCGAAAATGAGGTCAAGATAACCTCATCATCGTCAAGCGAACCTGTTTTCTCATCTCCAAAAAGGGCACTACTGTGATTTTCAATCAGACTTGTAGCCTCCTTAGACTTGAGTTTTGCACATCTCTGTAATGTCTCCGGATCAAAACCCATCACATAACACTTCAAGTTTTCAGGTTTCTTCTCCTGACTGCTTGGATCTAGACTCTGCGACTCGGATTGTATGCTGCCGATGCGGCCAAACAGAAGATTCTTTATTCCATGGTGCTGAACGGTGGTCCTCTGCCTCAGGGGAAGATCTTGGCTATCCAAAGCCACACATTGCTCGAGTTGAAGCCTCAACAAGGCAGACTTCAAAAAGTATCCATATAAGATGGAGGCAATGTATATTCGACTGAGCGCGGATTTAGCAATTGTAGTAATTGCCCAGTGGTCTGTGATGCTAGAATTCGCTCTCAATCCGATGACTGCAGCAATGTGTTCCCTTACAATCTCCAAAACTTCAAAGCTGTAGATTGATTCTAGCTCCCAGTCCTTTGGAGGCCATATCTCCAGTCTTCCATTGTACACACATCCAGAAAGCCTTGGCACCAAAGGAACTTTGATTTCAGAAAATTTGTAAAAGATCAATAGATACATGATGTCTTCAACTGCAACTTGGCACTCGTTCTCCTTCAGTTGTGCAATCCTCCTGGCATTTAGATGCATATTATTAGGACAAGAGTAGACTTACATATTCAACTATTCTTTCAGAATCTTAAATATACTCTTTCAGCCCACCAAGGAATTCCACCAGTGATCCATCCGCTCTAATCTGTTTAAGATAGTAAAAGCATCAACTAGGCGACACTTCACATTGGTGGAAAATATCCTTGCAAGGATTGTCTGTGCACAAAGATGTTAGTTAGCATGGCTTATGCGTTAAATTCCTATGTCAGTTATGCAGAAATTGTAAGGATAAAAAGGATCAAACCACAACCTGATACAGAACAAACATAACCTTCAAAAGCACATGCATAAGTAAAACTAATGCGATAAATACCAACAGTTTATATCTCCCCATTGCTCTTAATAGATTCTCAATTAAAGTTAGTTCCTCAAACTTACGCCAAACTAGTCTCGAAGATTAGTTAAAAAGCACAGCGGTAAGGGTTAGCACTTAGCACATCGCAAATAGCAGATTGGGCATAACATTCTTTCTCAACCCTTTGGAGCGAGCCCCACAAGAGTCATGTTCTCATGAGAACTTATCCAGACTACATAGATAAGGATGTATCGTCTATATGGGGTTTTCTCTACTTAAGCAATGGTTAAACAAGATAAGCGAGTCAGTGTCCCTAGGACCCTAGAATTGAACAGAGGGCTATAATAAAAGCATTAAAAGGCCACACCAAGTAGACATAGCTCAAGCAATTTAAGTTCCAATTATTTCATGTTAACTTTTAGGATAAACGAGTACACAAAACTCCGTCTAAATCTGATCCTCTGCTATGAACTTAGAGCTGTACAATTAATTATTAAGGCCACAAAGGAGAAGAGGAACCGACAACCTAATTGACATGAACCGTTGGGGTTCGTTTAGTTTTCTAGTTTGAGTTTTTAATTTAAGTTGAGATGTAATTTTATGTGATAATTTTTAATTTAAATTGAGATGTGACTTTATGTGAGAGTTTTTTACGATAACAAACAAATTGAATAAAATTAGATGTGACTATTTTTAAGAGTTTTACTGAATTTTATTTTACTGTAAAAAAAATTCGAATATGAACGGAACCTGCATGTCCCACCGTTACAAAAAGCACTTCTTTTGGGAACATTAGCTCAAGAGTCAATAACGGTAAACGGGTGAAGGATTTATTTAATGAAAATCACAGAAAACAGGGCTTTTATAGTAAGCGAAAAGTGTCACAGAACGCACAACAAAGTAAATCGTTTCATTAGGCTAATCCAAATCTACTAAACTACCAATTAAGTAGAAATATCGAAAAGAGAGAGGATCGTTCAACACTAAACGTTCGAAAAATTCACACAATTCATGCCTAATACACTGATCAAGAAAGCACAGAACTGGAGATGAAGAATTGTTCAAAGAGCGTTAAATTAAAAAGGAAAGTCACCTGTGAAGGCAGGCCTCGGGAGATCCATCGCTGCGGATCATCCGATTGCGAGCGGCGTCGCGATCGTCGGCCAGGTGCTTGAGCTCGTCGGCGACGGAGAGGTGGAAAAGCTGCGGGTGGTTCAGCAGCACGCCGATCAGGGCCTTCCCCGCCGGCCCGGCGATCACCGTCAAGCTCCTCTTCCTTCTCGTTGTGGCGCGGATACTGACCACAGCGGACCTGGGGAAGGAACTGTTATGGCTTCTGTGGGGCCTCAGAGTCGACGGAAGACTAGGGCTTTTGTGGTGAGAGAGACAATATTCCATCAAATGCTTGTGATAATTCTCTGCGAAGAAGACGAAGAAGAAGAAAAGAGTATTTCGATTGGTGTTAGAAGATGGATGAGGAGAGAATATTATGATGAGCGAAAAAGAATATTATGATGAGCGAAAAAGAATATTATGATGAGCGAAAAAGAATATTATGATGAGCGAAAAAGAATATTATGATGAGCGAAAAAGAATATTATGATGAGCGAAAAAGAATATTATGATGAGCGAAAAAGAATATTATGATGAGCGAAAAAGAATATTATCTTTATAATGGATAGGGTTCGGTTCAGTTGGGGCAAAGTTTGAGTCCTTCCAGGACTATGGTTTGGTTCCTATACAGACGTTGACTTTCTAGAGTCCTACTTATGTGCGATTGAGATTTTTCCGTTTAACTGATTTGATTGATTGAGATTTTTGTGGCCAATCAGAGAGCAATAAGGGAATTCGTATGTTATAGAAAGGAACACGGAATATGCGCCGGATTTCTGGATTAGCATCTGTTGACCCTATGGACGGCTCCTATTCTACCAGATCACGCATTGTGTTTTTTCTTTTTTTATTCATTCACGGAAATAGAGATTCTACTTGCTTTATTTGTTTTTTAAATTAATTTTTGGGCAAAGATTTGGTGCGACGCTGCTGTTGTAGATAATTAATTGGTCTACTTAATTTTTTGTTTTTCAAGAAAAAAAAATCTAGTAAAATGAGACTCAAATTATACATATTACTAAAAGAGGCGCCCGGTTATTGTATTAAGTACAGTGACTCGTCATTTGTCTCTTTCTTCTTTAAAAAAATTTTGGTTGTGTCTTAAATGTGTGTTTTACCGTTTTATTTTTGGTTCTTTATTTTTACTTTGTTTTTTGTTTGGGTATTTTCGTAATTTTCTTATTTAGAAAAATTCTGGTTGTGTCCTAAATATGTATCTTTACCGTTTTATCCTTAGTTGTTTGTTTTTGCTTTGTTTTTTGTTTAGGTATTTTTGTACTTTTTACTCAAATTAGTACTATAATGATTTTTGCTATTCCTCGAAGCTTCTACTTTCATTTCTTCTTTTTTGTTTCTTTTCTCCTCTTTGTCTGCAGCTTTTTTCACGTGTTAATGGATCTTCTCTCGAAGCTTCTACTTTCATTTCTTCTTTTTTGTTTCTTTTCTCCTCTTTGTTTGCAGCTTTTTTCACCTTTTTTCACGTGTTAATGGATCTTCAGAGTTCTAAGCTTTTTTAAATCTGAATATATGCTTTTCGTCTTCTTCTTCTCTCTATTTTTTCTTTGTCTTTTCGTTTGGGTTTCTTATGCTTTGCATTTGTGCTTCTTGCGTTTTTTGGGTGGTTTTCTGTCCAGAAAGGGAGAGGTTTATCTTCATTTTCAGAAGAACTTTTTTTTCCCTTCTTCATCTTCAGTCGTCTGACTTCGGTTTTATCAGGGTTTGGAATTTTTCCTTTTTTTGGGGTTATTTAGACTCTGCTATTTCGGTTTTTGTTCGTTCCCCTTTTTTTCTTATGTTTGTAAATTAGGGTTTCGTTAGATTATTTTTTTCATTTTGTTTTGTTGATTTATTTATTTTGTAGATGTTTAGAAAGAAATTTTCAATTGTTTTTGTTTAAAATTAATTTTTTTCACTTTGAATGTATTTTAGGGTTTCTTCTTCAGAAATTTTTTTTAAAGAGGCTTTTAGAAGATTTATTTTGTTTTTAGTTTTTTAGTCATTTTCACCGTTGATGTTTAGATGTTTCAGGGGTTTTTTTAATTGTTTTAGGTCTTTTTTTTTCTTCTGTTGTTAATTTTTTTCTTCCTTTTTTTTGTTTTTTATATTTTTTTTCTTTTCCGATTTGTTTCAATGTTGTTTTTTGTATCTCTTTAACATTGGTTGTGTTTTTCTATTTTTAGAAATGTTTCTCTTTTTTTTTATTTCTTTCGTTTCTCTGTTTTTTAGATGCATTGTTGCACATGTTGTTAACTAATCATTACATGTGTTCATTATTTATTTGTAGATGTCTAGAAATAATTTTTCAATTGTTTTTGTTTAAAAATAAAATTTTCACTTAGAATGTATTTTAGGGTTTCTTTTTAAGAAATTTTTTTAAAGATGCTTTTAAAAGATTTATTTTTTTAGTCATTTTCATCGTTGATGTTTAAGATGTTTCAGAGGTTTTTTAATTGTTTTAGGTGTTTTTTTTTTGTTCTGTTGTTAACTTTTTTCTTATTTTTTTTTTTGTTTCAGATTTTTTTTCATTTTTGATTTGTTTCAATGTTGTTTTCTGTGTCTCTTTAATATTGGTCGTGTTTTGTTTCAGATTTTTTTTCATTTTTGATTTGTTTCAATGTTGTTTTCTGTGTCTCTTTAATATTAGTCGTGTTTTTCTGTTTTCAGAAATGTTTCCCTTTTTTATTACTTTCGTTTTTATTTTTTACATGCATTGTTGCACATGTTGTTAACTAATCATTACATCTGTTGATATTTATGTGTTGGTTTTGTTATCCGATATTCACCATCTTTTTCTTCTTCCGGTAATTTTATTGCGTTTTAAATCCGTGTAATAGGTTTGTTAATTATTTGTGTCTCTTTATTATTGGATTATTTTTTCTGTGGTTTACATGCTTTCTTACACCTGTTCTTAATCAGTTATTTCACCTGCTGGTTTTTCTTTTTTAGATTTGTTATCAGAAAATAACCAGAAGTTTCCTCTTTGTGTATATAAATCCTGTTATTTTTTTTATTACCACCGTTTTTCACATTGTTTTTCTTTTCGTTTTCTCACTGTTAACTTATATATTCTATTACTTTTTCTCTTTTCATGTTCCTCATCAAAACTCAGACTTTAGTTGTTGTGCTCTGTCTGTTATATAGATTGCCTTTCTTCGTTTCAGGTATGTATTATTATATTCTTGAATATGTTTATTAATTGTTTTGAAGAAAATATTTTATTTATCGTTAATGTTTATGATAAACGTTGTTTTGAAGGAATTATCGTATTTATCATTAAAGTTTATGATATGATTTTGTTTCTTTAGTATATGATATGTTGATTTTTTCTAATCATGTTTTGTCTTATACCTTGCTTAAAGCTTTGTTCTTTTGCTCTGTTTGCTCTATCCATTTACCTTCTTCGTTTCAGGTATGTATTCTTCTTCGTTTGAGGTAATGATGTTGTGTTTTTTTTTTGTTGTTACCATGAATTACATAACTGTTAGTTAAGTTTATTTCAAAAATTTTTATCATTTTTATTGTTTTGTTAATCTGTTTTATTATTAGGAGTCATTATTTTAGTATACTTTTATTTCTCTAAAAATAATATCATGTTACTTTGTTGGCTATGATTAATAGGAGTTTTTATTTTGTTAATAGAAGTCTTTACTCTTAGTGTTACCTCAATTATCTAGGATTATTTTGTTATCTTTTTTTTTGACATTATTTTCTTCATGTTATTCTTATGCTGTACGTTCTTAAATTTTTTATCTCTTTTTTTGTTCTTCTATATTTGATTTCACCGGTTTTTTTTTCTCTTTATTTTCTGTCCAGTTCCTTAATGTTTTTTGTTCTTCCATATTCATCATAAATGCGTAATAATTTATTTAGTTGGCAGCCATGGACATAAATAAAATACCTGAACCTTGTATTGTTATCTCTTTATTTGTTCTTCTATATCTCATTTTACCCGTTTTTTTTCCTTTATTTTTCTGTTTAGTTCACTAATGTTTTTTGTTCTTTCTTATTCAACATAAATTCTTAATAGTTTTGTTTGCAGCTAGAGACATTGTCAAGTCATGTTTAAATTATTGATGATATATGTTGCTAGCAGATTAAAGGAAATATATGAACCTTATATGTTTTATTTATATATGTAAATAAACGGTTTCCTAGATATAGAAATTTATTATATATTTAAATATTTTTGTGACATTTATGAATTATGTGTCATGTTTTGTTTGTTTACTTCAATATTATTGTTTTGTTCTAATTTTTCCCGGCTTTTTTCTCTTATTTATTTAGTTGATATATGTAAAGAATGTATATTTTTCTATCTACGGACAAAAAAATTTAATCTAATTTATTTATTTGTCATGCTTTATTAAATATTTAAATAAATATTTGATAACTATACCACCGTGCAAATGCACGGGTAACACACTAGTTCATACTATATCTTCACCCTAAAATAATTCTAAATTCTGTATTTTTTTGCTCTAAATTTTAAATCCTATATTTAACACTTAAATGTACAATTTTTGTTCCTCATGATTTCAAATTCTTAATTTTTATTGTTTTTTCAAACTATAAAAGAATTTTGTGATAGGATAAAAAAAAATACTATAGGCAGGACATCATTTTTAAATCTTAGATCACACTAAAACGATATCATATTTACTCTTTTTTTAAAAGAAAATAATATTAAGAACACAAACTCCAATTTCAACTATTGTGTATCAAATATCAATTGGTGTAGTATGTCATTTGTCATTTAAAGTTGTGGGTGTTTCGAGCATTACCACGTCAATTAGTGATAAGAGATTGTATCTACTAATAAATAGATGACAACTCACATGTCACATTAGTTGGTACATAATAATTGAAATTGTAGTTGATTTTCCTAACATTATTCTTTTTTAACGCTCTATTTTAGCCATCAGATTTGTGTCATAAAGTGTTTGTTCTACAAATATTTTTTTAATTTGATGTGATTTTAATTTAATGATCAGAAATTTGACCCTACAATTATGCCCAAAAAAAAGGTTAACTTCAATTTTAGTCCCTGAGAAATATTCATTGTCTCACCCCCTAAGCTTTCGAATGTCATGCTAATGGCCCTTCAGCTTTATAAACGTTGCACTTTTAGTAATTTCATTACAAACCCATTGAAAAATGAACAGAACAGAATAAGCATATAAGGTGCATATGATGCTTTTAATGAGGGTAATATGATAAAATTAATTAATGATTAATTTCAAATTTGGCTTCTGAGGAATACTCAGTGTTTTATTTTGCCCTTAAAACTTTCAAATGTCACACACTAATGGTCCTCGAGCTTTACCAAATTACGCAAACTAAAAGATCATGTGCACACCACATGCTCATTCCATCCATTTTTTAGTGGTTTTTTAATGGAGGGACTAAAAGTGCAACATTTGTACAGGTCTAGGGTCATTTGTATGATATTTACAAGTTTAGGGAACAAAATGAGACAATGAGTATTTCTTAAGGGTCAAAATTGAAATTGCAAAAGAATACTCTCAAGTTCTTTGCAAAAACGTCTAAAGTTTGGAAAGCGTCAGGTACTTATGATTTTGCATGGTAGATAGTTGGTTACTTTTTATACAATTATAATTTTTCCTCACAATATATCAAAACTGAGTTTTATATAAAAATGTGATGATTAATCAATCTTTGAATCATTCCTTATACAATCCAAATGCCCATAAATTACTTCAGAGCAAAAAAAAAAAAAAACCCCGAAAAATTTTCTTCAGCTAAGCAGTGGTTCCTAAAAAGTTGGCCAATTAATTGTATCTGGCAAAATTCCTAAAATCAATGAGAACCAAGTAGCCAACAGAAAACAAATAGACAAACAAAGACAACCGCAAAAACCAGCGTCCTTTTAGTATTCCAAAGAAAAAAGGCCTGATATTTCATAAAGACAAAGGCTATATAAACCGCCGCAACCTTTCACAACAAAATGTTCCAAAAACACCAGCTCCGTCGTTGACTAGTAAAACCGTTAAAAGATGAAGGCGTGGTTGGTGTGTTTGGTTCTGATACTAAGCGCCGCCGCGGCGGTGGTGGACCAGGCGGTGGCTGCTCCGGGCGTTCCTTCCGATAAGAATGCCAAGCTAAGCCCCAAGCTCAATTTTGAAGATCCATGCTCCAGCCCCGGTGGCCCCTACCCAGGTTGCGATTACAGAAAGACGCCACGTAAGCAGGCCAACGCCTACAATCGTGGTTGCGCCAAATTCTACCGCTGCCGCAGTTATTTTTTCTAATTGATAAAGCCCTTTCTCTGGTCACCCCACATCGAAGAACTTCTCATGCACTCATATAGATATACACACACTTGTGTGTGTTCATATTGCATCTATATAACACACGTGTGTGTAATCCCTAGGGTACTGACAATTTTTTTGTCTTGTTTTTATTAGTTGTTTGTAATTATTTTCTTCTTTTCTTGGCATAAAAACAAAGTTGGGATTGGAAGGAGGTAATAGGATTCATAAATGTATGGTTGGCTCTCTTCTTTTTTTGTTTTTTGTTTTTGTTTTTGTTTTTGTTTTTTTGTTTTTTGTTTTTTTTTGTTTTTTGTTTTTCCTTTCTAGCTACTCAATGGGATGAGCGCTGGAATTATAAATATTGTAGAAATATAGAGATTGATTTTTCGAATAATTCATTATAATGAATAAAGGAGTCAAATAATTGTTTTTTTATTAAAAGTTCAAGGGGAATTTCTTTAAGCATTCTTCGGAATTTGTATGTGTACGTGACTCCTCAAATGAGACGAAATTGGGTTCTACAAGAAATAATAACCTTCTGTGCTTTCAAAATGCTCACCGTGATTAGTGTTTTTTTTTATATATGATAATAAATTTGTTGTCGATGTTAATGTCACATAGAAGTTGCAAATATGCTAAGAAACAAAACGATAAGTGTAAATGAATTAACAAATAATAAGAATAATAACAATAAGATCAAATCACCAAACTCACCACCTCTATATGATGAAATCTAAGTGGACGTGATATATTTTTATTTACTATTAGAATACTGAAACTACAATTTAGAAGAAAATAAAAGGAACAAATCTTCATGTGAGAAAAATCCCTAAGGATCTTCTTATTCAGTGGAAGGGATTCTTGAAATTTGGGATAAAGCTGAGAAGGGAAGAAAGAGAAATTAGAATAGGAGGTTAAGTGAAGGTCCGGTTTGGTACATTATGTAGTGATTCCTGTTACAGAGTAGTATACAAATGAAGCTTTCCGCTGTGAATCATGTGGAATTGGTCATATTTTGAAGTCCAATAAAAGAGTCCAATTCTTTAGATCTTTCTTACCAAGAAACAAGAAAAGACCAAAACAAAACAAAACGAAACAAAAACAAGAAAGCCATGGAAGCGAACAAAATGAATTATGGAGGCGTTGCTTCTCATGTGTTTGGCTCTTCTTGGCACGGTGGTCTTCATGGCAAGCCACACCGACGCTGATCATGCGGTGTACGGCCGTTCAATGTATACCCGAATACTATGCAATCCATACGGATCGAGGGTGCTCCATAATTTTCAGGTGTTGCCAACCTAATCCACCTCATAAGTCCAGCTAAATCTCTAGACTACAAGCCGTGACAGAGCCACTTGAAGATGAGCGGGACAGCCGCCCCCACTAAATTTTTTTAAAAAAAAATATTACTTTTAAAAATTTTAAAATTTTTTCACTTAAGCCTCTATTGAAATAATATATGCTCTCACTAAAACAAATATATTTTCTTATATGCCCCCACTAAAATATTTTGTTAAAAAAATTTAATGTACGCCCCCATTGAAGTAAAATGCTGACTCTACCACTAACTACAAGCAGCATCAAGACTCAAGTGTGAAGACTCTCCCTTAATTTGGTGTCAGTAAACGTCTTGAGATAATGTGGTGCATGTAATAAGAGCCTTATATAATCAGTCTAATGTGTAGAGTACTAAATAATATAATGCTTAACTAGTTAATTATGTTGGTTTTTTAGATATGTTAATGTGTTGGAGCTGAAACTTTTCTTTCAAAAAATATGGTCAACCCGTGAAATATGAAGCAGTAGAAGCCCAAGAAAGGGAAAAAAAAAAAAAAAAGAAGCCCCGAAGAAAGCAAATTAAATTGGTATGAAAAGCAAAAGATAGTTAGAGGTAAAGTTGTTTACTACTTTTACGGATACCATTGTTGGTTGTCCTGCTGGTAATTTTATCGGTTCAGAAGTTCTTAAATCTAAAAGAGTATTTTTATCTTGCGTTTTTCTTTTTATTGTTAAGACAAAATATATACAACGAAGGTGCTGAGAAGGACAATGAAAAACATTGCATGGTTTTTCATAAGTGGTGAGTAACCGCGATGCCATGTTGGGAAGAAATAAATTTAAGTTTTTTTTCATTATCTTTATATTTCCGTGTATGAGGAATTTTTCGTCGATTTTTAACTTTTTTGTCCTTCCGAGCAAAAAAAAATAAAAAATAAAAATTGTCCTCAAGGATGCGTAAAGCTTTTACGAACAATCCATGAAGGTAACAACTCATAAGCTTTCTATTTGGTGTTAATTTTATAAAGTCAGGTTCTGTCACGAGTCCCTATCATGGCTTTTTTTTTTTTTTTTTTCCTCCTTTGCACTTTTGCTTTTCACATTGCAGAATATGGGATTGTTTATTGACTTTTTGAGGACCAACAACCATAACAGAGGCCTTGATGAACTAAAAGGGACGAAGTAGAAACTAGAAAAAAAGTAGCAATATCGAAGCATCCTAGAAGTTGAGGCCACACGAAAAGATACTTGTCCATTTAGCCGTTGGTAAGAGCCTCAATCACTCGACGATAAATAAATAAAATAATAACACCTCACTCGACAAAATCTATTATTTATATTATACGCTTCAGAGCATAGATATAGCCGTTGCTCGTCCCAATTGGGTATATAGCCGTTGGAAGCCTTGTAGTACAGAAAGTGCATAAAAAATAAAAAAACAAATAATTAAGAAAAAGAAAAGAGAAGAGAGGATATGACTCGCAATGCGCAAGTGATCAATTGATAGATCGAAGTCTCTAAAAATGTGTCGTTATTCTAAACATTCTCGGCCGCACACAAAAGAAGAAAATCCCCAAAAACTAGAGTGACCAATGGATTCCTTTCTAAATGAAATAGGCAACCTTGTAAAATGTCTCAATCTGAAAACAGGTAAAAATTATAATAAATTGAAAAAAAAAGGGTTGTAACGAATTGCCCAGTTCACTAATTTAAGCACTAGAATTGAATGAATAAGAGCTTATTCAGCATTAACTAAGATGGGAGAAGTGCACCACTTTATACCACCTTCCTCATAGTGTCACACTGGCGTACTTGCAGTATCCATAACCTGCCAAAAAAAAAAAAAAGAAACCATAAAAAAGAAAATCATAATTGAAAATGGAAGCTCCTTTAGAAAGGATTAGTGTGTGACAATTAATCCAAGTCAATACAACAGACTATCATTGATAAGTGCGAGACACAATTGTTAAGGGCAAAGGCAGCAAATACTCCTTAAAGTGTATGATCTGAATTTTTATTCTTAATTAAGAGTAAATAATAAAAATCCAAACTTAATTAGTTCAATAATTTTATCGACAGCGTGTTAATGACTTTTCATTGATAAGTGTGATACTCAAATAGATCTAATTTTAGCTACGGTTGTTAACGACGATCATTATAAATATGAGACAAATTTAGATCTTATTTTAATCACGACTGTTATAACTCTCATTGATAAGTACGAGACCCAAATAAATCTTATTTTAAGCATGATTGTTAATGACTCATTGACAACTGTGAGATCTATTTAGATCTTATTTTAATCACGATTGTAGTTAATCACGACTGTAGTGACTGTCATTGATAAGTATGAGACTTAAATAGATTTGGTAATGACTATCATTGTTGATAAGTGTAAGTCACATGCTAATTTCACCATTAAAAAAAGGGAAAAAAAGTGAGAAGACAGAGTCACATGCTAATTTCACCATTTAAAAGGGCAAAAAAAAAAGGAGCGAACAGATGAGAGCACATGCTAATTTCACCCTTCCTATAATAAGAGAATTCTATGTCATGGTAGGACAGATACTTTGACTGAATTTGACAAAAATGTGTCAATTTTGATCTTAGCCTAAATATTCTTCCTTGCACTGCCATAAAATTCTCCTTTTTTTTTCTTTTTTCTGGTGAATTAGAATTCTCCTAATTAAATAATATATTACTGCTCGCATTAAATGAACCATAACAACCAATATCTAACACGTAACCTTAAGATTTAACAAAAAAAATTAAAAAGTAGCATCATAAATATATTTTTCCAAAAAAGAAAAGACAAAAAATGGGACTTACTAGGATCCTTGGTCGTTTGAACAGCCAGCCCATTGAAGTAACAGCCCCCGCCGAGCTTCTTGAACTGAGCCCAATACGAGCTGAACGCATAGCTGGCGCGCCGTACCAACGAATCCGGGCGGCTACAAATCCCACCGGGTTGGATCGCGTCGCAGGTTTTGTTCCCCTGCGAGCAGGCGTACGATAACGCCGCCGCCAGCTCCGTCTTATTCCCTCTCATGGCCTCCTTCGCCACAACGCACCATATCTTCCCCTTGTACGGAGTATTATTCTCCGGAGCCGGCAATGGCGGGTAATCCGACAATGGAGTCTCGCCGCTGAGATTGATCGGGTATATATTCTTCCCGCTCGGGTACAACAACCCGAAGTGTCGCTCCGTACCCGGACCGGGTTTTTGGTTCTCGTTGTAGAGGGCGAATATGAAAGACGGGAGGACCGAACCGGGCCGAGCCGGAGTCCCAACCGGCGGTTTGGCGGATAACTTCTTGACGACATTTCGGTTGTAAGTGGCGGCGTTGTAAATATTGGCCCCAATCTGGTCAATGTCTCCGCCGTTGGGCCAACCCGTTTCGGCGATGAAGATCCGGATATCCGGAAACCCGAGCCGCTTCATCGCGAAATGGAGGGCGTCTAGCATCTGGTCAAAGAGGTTGGTGTAGGTCAAGCCCGTGTTTGGATCCGTGTAAGTGATATTCCTGGACTGGAACAGCGCGTAATCCAGGTTAATGCTGTTCGGCTCGCTGACCCAAGAGAAGTACGGATAAACATCGACGAAGAAGAAAGACTTGGTCCGGTTCAGGAACTGCAGCATCGGCTTGATAATCGGACCGGAGATGTCGGACCGGAACGAGCCGTTTGAGGGGGGGAAGGACGACTGGAGGACATCCATGGCGGACGGAGTGCCAACTTTGACCTTGCGGATGCCGTGGGTTCGGAGGGCACTTTTTATTTTTCGCATGGCGGGTACGAGGGCGTACCAGACGGGCTTAGCGGTGGAGCTGATGATTTCGTTCCCGACGAGGAGGTATCGGATCATGGTGTCGTGGTAGAAAGGGACCAGATTGGTGTGAACCCATTCGTCGGCGAGCGTTTGGTTGGTGGAAATGTTGATGAGGATCTCGTTCGGGACCATGATCGAGACTTGAATGTTTGTGTTTCTCAGGGCCGTCAGGATTTCTGGATCGGCGTTGTAGATTTTGACGCGTTTCGCTTTGAGGGTTTTGATGAGCTCCACTGAGCGTTTCGGAGACGGTAGATTGTTCCCTAGCCCGCCATAGTTCACGCCCACTTTGCCAGAGATCTCTGCACCTGTGACTGAAAAAAAAAAAGAAAAAAGAAACCCATTAAAGGACTGTGATTTGCAAGGAAAATAGAGAACGGAAGAAAACCCAATACGTCGCCGTTTACTTACTGGCGGGAGAAAGCAAGAGGGAGAGGCAGAGGATGAAGACGGAAAAAGGACCGACTTCCATTGCTGGGTTTCTCCCAGTACAGAGTTCAAAGTGTGCTCTCAGTGAGGGGAAAAAAGAGCGAGCTTTGGTGGTTATACTTAAGGATGTAGAGAACAGAGATTGGATTGTGTGTGAAAAGAAGCGAGCTTTATAAGGGAAGATATAAGACGAATAAGTGAAGTCTGGAAAAGGGAGTGGATTAAAAAATCATGTGGAAGTTGAAGAAGAGCACTCACCAATGACCAAGAAAGGGGGTAGTGTTGGAAACGAGGATTTCTATATAAAACTCAAGCGATGGGGGAATATCACTTTTATTATATTCGCTTTTACCTTTGTGAAAAGACAAAGAAAAGAACGTAACAGAGAGAGAGAAGAGAAATAATAAATGGTTTCAAGCGATGCGTAGGCCAAGAAAAGTGGGACCCTTTCTAATCAGTCATTATTATATTATACATGAACTCTGCTGAGCTTCCAGGAAGGGTTGGAAAAAGGAAAAATGGATGATCTGGAAAAAAGAAAAAAGATCTCTGTATGTCGTATTTGATACAATTACCCGTTTAAGTGCTGATGTTTGTTTTAAGTGTTCATTTTTAATTTTAAATAATAATTTTTAGTTTTTTTTTTATAAAAAATTTAAATTTTAAAAATTAAAGTAATGAATTATGATTTTAAATTTATTAGAGTGTTTGAGATGATAAGAATTCGTGTCATGATTTGAATCATAATTTATAATTCGTTATAGTATTTTTTTTTTATAAAAAATACATATAAATTAAGAATAATTTTAAATCATAATTCTAAACTTATAGATCAAATGTTCACCTCTTATAAATTTTCGTTGGGAATAATTTTGATCCTTCTACGGTTGCTTTTGGGATTGTTCTTATGAAGTGGTTGGGAAGTTTGGCATCGGTTTTGAAGTTATGTGGAAGGCGGCGTGGGGAGCACGATTATGGTCATGTTGTAGTGAAATCATCTTTCTTCAATTTCTGAATTTTAAATGGCCTAGAAAAACTCCAAGCGTGATCATCTAATCATCTTCTTATGATTTTCTTTTTCGCTTTTTATTATTTTGTTTTGTGTTTATTGTGACTTGTGAAATAATGGTGCAGTCGGCAGCCCTACAATTAGGCATTGAATTAAATTTTCATTTAAGAATAAGTTTATGATTCGTCAATTAACCATTTCGTTTGTCTGACTATTAAAATCTCAAAGAAAAAAAATACGGCCAATGACATTTTTTCTTAACAGGTTAAAATTTTAGAGCGCGTTTAGAACTCGTTTTAAAATAATTTTATTTTTTATAAGAAAATAAAAATAAAAACGTTTTTAATCTCAGACAGAAATCATTTTTAAAAATGTGTTTAATAATTTTATCAAAATATTGTTTTTAGTGTAAAAAAATTCATTAATGTCTCTCTTTCTCTCTCTCTGCTCGAGAGAAGAGAAAATAAAAATAAAAAATAAAAAACGACTAAAAGTCATTTTTCATTTCTCTCTCATTTTACATTAAACTAAAAAATTATTTTTCATTTCTGTTTTTTATCTTTATTGCGTCAAATGCCGTTTTAAAAATGTTATCATTTTCTCTTTTTTAAAAAATATAAAAAATAAAAACGAAATCTTATGGGCCTGTTTGGTTTTGTTTTTGTTTTCATTTTTTACGTTTTTCGAAGCAAAAAAATGAAAACACAAAGTGAAAACGCGTTTGGCACAAAATTTTTTAGAAAACAAAAACAAAAACGTTTTTGTCTTTTTGTGAAAAACTGAAAACGGAAAAAATCCGTTTTCATTTTCACGTTTTCGTTTTCAGCTGAACAAGCTGAAAACTGATTTCAGTTTTTTTTTTCTTTTCTTCTCTCTCTTCTCCGGCCGAAGAAGAGGCGGGAGATCCGGCGAACACCCACCGTCGCTCCTCTCCGACTGGCCCGCCGCCATCTTCTCCGACTGCCCGCCA